GTGGGAGAGGACAGGGATGGGAATCCCAGCGCTGGGAGGGACAGTTTGGTCCCTCAGCGCCCCAGCACCCACAAATCCCTTTGGAAATCAAATTCCTGCTGTTTTCCAGGCCTGGCTCTGCCCAGCAGGGAGCGAAGCCTCGTGCCCACCTGAGCCCAGGAGAGCTGGAGCGCTGGGATTGGGGTGGGAAGGGAAGTATTTGGGGGAAACAGGATTTGCTAAAGAGCTGGAAGAGAGGGATACCAGGTTGGGCCATGTGTACAGTCAATCCCAAAGGATCCACTCTTCCCTCCACACCGTGCTTGGCATAAATCCCATCCCTCCATCCCCAGCACCTCCCAGTGCTTCACTTACCCCAGCAAATGCCACGGGATGGGCACCAAATCCCCCCGGACCCTCTGGAGGCGAATCCTGGTCCCTGGCCTGGGTCTGGCTCCGGGTGGGAGTGAGGAGGGAATCCCGGCTGTTGCCACCCGGGCTGGGAGCAGAGGGAGCAGAAAACAGCTGAAGGATCTGACAGCCGGATCCGTCACCGGGAGCGGGAGCCGAGGGGGCTCCACCGGCCCTTTATAAATAGCCAGGAGGATTTTTGATCCCGAAAGGCGGATTCCAGTGGGGAGGGGAAGGGGGAAGGCGGGGAGGGCCCAAGACTTCCCAACCCCACGCACGAGCAGCGGGTGAGGTGGACACGGAGTCCTGGATGGGCCACCTGGAGCTGCCCATCCTGAGGTTTCCCCAGGCTTCACTGGGAAGAACAAGCAGGGTGGGAATGCTGGAAATCCACGGAGGCTCCCAGTCCAGCAGCACCTGCCTCCTGGAGCACGGGAGCACCTGGCCTGGGCACCCTGGCAGGGGAGCATTCCCCTCCCGGCTCTGCAAGCAGGGAGATGGGAAAACCCGTGGAGATGAGAGCGGTGTGGAGTGCTGCTTTTTCTCCAGGATTCTCCATTCCAGAGCTTCCTCTCTCCCTCCCTTGGGGAGCTCAGAAGGTCCTGGAGATGTGACAAATGTCAGGAGAAGCGGGTATCTCATTCCTACACCTGGAGAAA